CTCAGCACCCTTGGGTGGATCCCATCTGGCCCCATAGACTTGTGTGTGTCGAAGTGATGTAGCAGGTTGCTGACCATTTCCCCTTGGATTATGGGGGCTTCGTTCTGCTCCCCATCCCTGTCTTCCAGCTCAGTGGGCTGGGTAACCTGAGAACAACTGATCTTACTATTAAAGACTGAGGCAAAGGCGGCATTAAGTACCTCAGCCTTTTCCTCGTCCTTTGTCACTATGTTTCCCCCATGCATCCAAGAAAGGATGGAGATTCTCCCTAGCCCTCCTTTTGTTGTGAATGTATTTATAGAAACTTTTTGTATTATCTTTTATGGCAGTAGCCAGATCAGATTAAGTTCTAGTTGGGCTTTGGCCCCTCTAATTTTCAGCCTGCGTAACCTCATGACATCTTTGTAGTCCTCCTGAGGTGCCTGCCCCTTCTTCCAAAGGTCGTAAACTCCCTTTTTTTTTTCCTGTATTGTTTTGAGAGACTGGAATGCTGTTTCACCAGTATTATGGCCTGCGTTACAGTCTCTACATCTGGATTAGTCTGGTTTATATTTCCTGTTTTCAGGTGAATGACGCAACAAACTTGTAATTCATTATTTCATTGGTGGAGGATTTTCTGGTTTGTGTATGAAGAAACAATAAAAAAAGGCCCTTTAAAGTGTAGGTCATTGTAGACAGGTATTTTTTTCACAATCCTTCCTTTAGTAGTCTGTTACACTTGAGAATGATGGTAATGAACAAAAAGGAATTAATCAATTTGCTGTGTGATTCGGTGTATTTATGGTATACTCTGAGATTGCAATCATGAAGCAAAAAGTAATTAAAGTTAGTATAGAATCGAATAGAGTTCTTTCTCTGTTGTAATATAAAGCAAAAACTCTGTCTTCTAATATATTAAACTGTTCATAAAGTTGACATTTGGGATTATGTAAAAAGAAGAATGGAGGGAAAAACCAGTTTTATTCATGAATTATTTCGTTTCACTGGAATCAAAGAGCTTACATTTAAACAAGACTTGTCATGCTAAAACCGAATCTTAACACTGAGACTGAAAATGCCCAGAGACTTGTAGGAAGGTTAATCCAGTGAAGTTTGGAGGACAAGCCCTGAGACTGCCCTAGAAAACTGGGAGACATGTTTTATGTTTGCCTGCTACTAAGGTAACAGGCACGAGCTTCTATGCCTTTGAACCCCAGCATCCTTTGCCACTGTAAGCTGCAATCCTTTAATGTTACTCTTGCGTATAGCACTTAAGTTTTATAATGTAGATAGAGGAGCTTCAAAATTAACTCACTGAGGTGGTGTAAAACCGTTTTAAACTGTGTTCACACGTTGAGGAAGATGAAATTTATTCGCACATGCAGGTGGTAAGAGAATACTGCAAAGCCTCGCATGCCGACACGCGCCATCGGCGTGGGTAGGTTCTTACTCCTGCCTCTGCGCAGGATTACTGATGACCTGTGTTTGGCAATACTTGATATCTGGGCAGGGCCATCTGCTTGGTGACTGTGGATTAGACACAACAGGCAGAGAGTCCTTCCGAGCCCAAAGACCGACAGGACGTACTGCCAGACTTGCACGGGCAGGCACCGAAGTAGTGAGATCAGCAAAACAAGTGGAAGGCCGTGGAGGGTGTGACATTCAGACCTGGGTTAGACGAGCTTTCCTTCTATCATCAATGCTAATTGCCCTTAATGAGACACTTGCAAGTGGAAGACTTGCGTGTCCAAGTTGCGTTGCCCAGCAAGTTTTTTCCATTGGGCCTAGAAAATATTTCTTAAACTAAATTTAAAGATAAAACTTAGCCAAAAGAAATAGAAGAGCCTTCTTTACTGGAAGTACTTTTAACTTGCTGCTGCCAAACTGTTTTAATGAAGAAAAGTCAGAAGCGTTCCTTTGTTTCACAAGCATATTCTTGCAGCTAGCCCAATGTGTTTTTTCTCAGCATGTCTAGTAGCTTTGAGGTTTTGGGGGGGGTTTAAATGGAGCTTTAATTTTCCTCGGACTTGCTTTGAAGCTGTCTGTTTTCTGTGTGGAATTTGAATTCAGAATGATTTCTCCCCTTAATGTAGGTTGCAGTATTACTTACTGCCTTTCAGAAACAAGTGCAGTGTATTTACATAGTTTTTTTATTTCTCATATTCTAGGTCTTAAGCATCCAAGTGAAGTGTTACCACGAAATCATTACTATAGGTTACAGAGTCTACCACTCGTATGATTTACCATGGTTTAGATCCCTCAGCTGGTGAGTAGCAAGCAAGAGCGTCAATAAGTAGGGATGTGAACTTAAATCTTCCTATGTTCTTCATATCCTGCCATGGTGGAATGATAGCTTTGTAGGTCAAGTGTGGACATAAAACTTGACATCTGATATAGGATTCTGTCATTGTCTTCCACCTGTGAACTTGGACAAATCAGTTGGCCTTTTAGTACTTCAATTCTTTCCTTGTTATAAATATGTATATAGGTACACTTACATGTATGCATGCATATATGCTTGAAGTCAGAACTGAGCATGTGTAAACTATCTAAAAATGTGCATAGCCAAATAATCACCTGGTATATATTACTTGTATTGCTTTGATAGTTGGTGGGTTTTTTTTTGGTTGTTAAGCTTGTATTAGAAATAAATAGAACAGGTACCTCAAATGCTCCTCTTCACACACACAGAGAATTAAAATAATAACATATACATTTTAAATCCTTTCCAATTGTGCAGTTAATCACAGGACTGCATAAATATAGTGTTGGGTGATCTACTGGAAGCCAAAAGATGAGATTAATTTTTCTGGCAAATCCCTGATACTTGTGACAATGTCCAGCTTATATAGGGTTGGACAGAGCTTGGGAAATCAACTCGTCTTCTGAGTTCTGGGAGGAAAGAGAAGGGCTTTTGGTTAGAGTCAGCGTTATAGGAAGGTGTTGGGCACATGTAGTCTCTCAGGTGCTTAAGGACATAAATCTTCAGACATGACCTATGTTGTGTTGTTTTGGTTTTGTGTTGACTTTGGTTTTTTTAAGGAACCGAAATATCTAGGTTATTCCCGGTCTCTTGTCACATTGTTTCTTCACTTCTAGAAGCAACTTCACTCTGTAGTGTGGTGAATTCCTATCTGTAAATGCTGATCAGTTCCCCTCTGGTCACTCCTGGATTATCCAGGGGACTGATCTATTGTCTGCTTTATTCCATGGCTTCTGGATCTACAGCTAGAGCAGACTCATACGTGAATGATTCTGCGGTCTTGCCAAAATGTTTAGAGGAGGAGATGTGCACTCTACCACTTAGTCTACTTTGGCAGTTGGACCTCCGTCACTTTCAAATGTGGAGCTCAAAATCAACTCCTCTGCATCGCCGCACTAGTTAGCATCAAAGCACCTTTCAGTCCAACATCTGCCACTGAGACTAAATATTAAGACATTTCCATGAGATCAGAGGATCCTGTTAGTAGTCTGAATATCAACTATTTGGCTTATTTAGAGAACTGAAGCCTTGCAAAGTGAGCATTAACGTGTATTGGGGGGAAGAGAATGAGTGCTCTGAGACCATGCAGAGATCCAGTCTTGAATCACAAGTTTTTATCTTCTGTGGCTGACTTTGGTAATAAGCCGAAGAGTGTGTTGCCTAGAGAGGTGCATCTCATAGTGGTTTGGGATTTGCTGTTTATTGGTTTTTATTGAGTGCTGCTTTGGCATTTGAGGATCCCATTGTGACTTAGCTCTAGAAAGCTGAGTAACTGAACTTGTATGAAAACCTGAGACAGAATTACTTGCCTACTGACTGTTTTGACTGAAAGGATTTTCTTTGAAGATCCTTCAAAGAGAGATGGCTGAAGGTGACATTTCACCTCAGTTGAACTTGAGGTATGGACATATTCCCACAACATTGTTTTGAAAAAATTGTACTAATAGCTGCGTTTACTAGTTAGTTGATGGATTTAACCCTGTAAGATTATAGCTCGGTCAAGAAAGCTAAAAGGTAAAGTGTGTGGTGGAGTGGAGCAGGAGATGCAGCAGTAACTCTTTCAGAGGAGAATCTTTGTGCCAGATGGCAAAAGTATAGTTACATTCAAATCCTCAAGCCCCATGTCAGATTCACTGTCCTATAACCTCAGAGGATTCATTATGCAGGTACCTTTTTTCTTGTTTGTAAGGCAGAAATCACAAATTACCCTTAATAAGATACAGGAAAAGAATATGCAGAATTGCTTGTGTCAGTATCGATGATAGCAGATACTTGAGAGCATCTGAAAAGGACTTGCATAAGTGTGGAGTATTCAATACTGTAGTTAAGGATGAAATGAATTTTCCAACTGTATCCTGCAAAAATGTGTTTGTTTTTCTAGTGCGGTTGCTTTAGAAGTAGTAAATTACAAAATTTGGCTTGTCAGAGGAGACGCCGACCCAGAAGCATAAGACTGGATTTATAGTTGAATTTTATTTGTATCGCATGTCTTTTGTACCTTTCTGGTTTTCCTTTTGTGTGGTGTTTTTTGGTTTTTTTTTTGTTTGTTTTGTTTTTTTAGAATGACGCTTAAATATATATTATCTTGTTAAAATAACTTCTAGCTGTTGTATGTTGCAGGTACTTTTTGCTGTGCGTCAACTACTTCTTTTATGGCGAAACTGTAGCTGATTACTTCGCTACGTTTGTTCAGAGAAGAGAACAGCTTCAATTCCTAATTCGTTACCATAGGTTTATATCTTTTGCACTCTATTTAACAAGAATGATGCTTAAATATATATTATCTTGTTAAAATAACTTCTAGCTGTTGTATGTTGCAGGTACTTTTTGCTGTGCGTCAACTACTTCTTTTATGGCGAAACTGTAGCTGATTACTTCGCTACGTTTGTTCAGAGAAGAGAACAGCTTCAATTCCTAATTCGTTACCATAGGTTTATATCTTTTGCACTCTATTTAACAGGTAAGAGTAGGAAATTGTGAAAATGAAAGAACTTTGTGCTGCATTTGTTTCTGTGCTTATTTCTTTAAAAAAAGTTTGCTCCCCAGCTTTATGTATTTTCATTTTCCTCTCGATGTTTGAGGAAATTAGGTGTTCACAGTTCCATTTTTCCTGTGAAAACATGAATATAAATTTTGTGTTTACTGAGAAGAAGAAAGCAGCCTAAACAAGTAAATGATCTTGAGAAAGTTGAGCTAATAGCAGTCAAGAGAAGTTGGCATGAAGTAATTTTGATGGCTGAAGAAATGGGGCTCCGTACCTGAATACATGAATGCTATTTTGGCAATCTGTGGAGGTGACTTGTATGTGTAATTGCTGTGCTGGGTTGATTCTTTGTTGTGCAAGTGTTTTGCTAGGTCTAGAGCAACAAGGTTTACCAATGTATTTTAAACTGATTATTCAAAATGCTTGAGGGTTTATTTTGTCTGCAAGATATTCAGATGCTTGCCTCATGGATAGAGGTTTTTTTTTCTCCCCTGTCCAAAGAAAGACTTTTCAAAAGCTCCTTATCTGGGAAGAAGAGACATAAGCTGACAGTCTTGTGGGATATTGCTTTGTGAACATGTAAATATTGTCCACGATGTTTTCAGCAATGCAGTTACTGTCACTTTAGCCTAAAATTAAATCGATTGAAGACTCAGCTTGGCCTAAGGGACAGGAGACTAATACTTGCAAAATATATTAAGAAACCTGATCTTCGTGATGAACTGTCAGTCCGTCTACTGTTAATCTTTTTTTTTTTTTTTTTAAAACCAGATAAAAATTCTACTTGGTGCTTAGATCACAAACTTGAAACCAGCTTTGCAAGACTTGACCTTTTTCAGCTGGCTTTGGCTTGAGGAAACGAACTTTACTAATACTTTGTGACCGCTGCAGGGCGGTGAGGGGAGAGATGAACCAAACCAGCCAAGAGCAAAAGCAGGAGGCAGAGCGTAGCAGAGCCCCTTGGTGTCTGTTGCGGTGGGATCGTGGGGTTGCTGAGGGGCTGTCCCCAGAGTTAAAGGTCTTTTGAGGGCCTCTGATCCCTGCTGGCACAGGGAATTGCCCAAGGGGAGAAGAAAGGTTCTCTCTCAGAGCATTTCTTTCGGTCAGTTGAATTCTCCAATGCCCGCGCTTCATGCTTGCGTTGCATGCAGCCGTATGCCTGTCTGGTGGAAAGGGGCAAGCTGGTCTTTTCCTTTCAATTATTTCTGTGAATTATTCAAAACCAGCTTGTTGACCTGTTTTTTTGAGTGGTTTTTAAAGGTGATGGTCTCCTCCCCTAAAAACTGATGTCTATGATGGGACCTTGTAAGTAATGAAATGGATGCTTTTTGCTGATGTTAGCTAAATCTTGTGCTCTAGTGAGAATACTTCTATGTGTACACTTAACTGAATACGAGCAAATGCTGCTAGCAGCAGAGGGATTAAAAGATGCTTCAAGGGAGGAGAACTACTGGTATGTCACAGTTCAGTGTAATTAAATATAAGATGGTACAAACTACACTTGCTTTGTTTTACAGGCTTCTGCATGTTTGTTTTGAGTTTAGTGAAGAAACATTATCGTCTGCAGTTTTACATGGTGTGTATTACCCACTTTGCTGTGGTCACTCACATTATGAATGTCACTAGGAACCACTCATGTCCCTAATGTTCATAAAATAGCTTGGAAGAGGGGTGTGGAAAATGTGCTTAAACCAACAGTAGCATGATATCAAGCGGTGTTGAGCTGTTCGGTGTCTGTTCACCTTGCAGCTTATTATTATTATATCATGAGATGTGGCTTTTCAGTCAATCCAAGCGGTCATTGGTGAGGCCTTGTGTATATACAACGTGTTACATTTCCCTTAGTGGTAGGCTGATACAAAAGAGATTCCTGGAGAAAGGGGTGTGCATCTCCCTCCCAGGTTTCAAGCCAAATAGTTCAGCGTAGCATGGGAAGTGGTTCTTGTGACTCAAGTGTTGCTTTGGAGAGGCCCCACTGAAGTACTGTGAAGGCAACTTGATCTTAACCCTATGTGGAAGATTTATTCTGTGATGCTTAACAGCAGTTCTGGTCTTCTGTTCTGCTGTGCCTCAGTAGATCATTAACCTATTAAAAGAAACCAGTCTTCTCATCTCTTGTATTTGTCCACCTAATGAATAGCATAGTAGGTAATCAAGAGCATGAACCTTTTTCTTATATGTATCTTGTAGGTCGAAAACTAATTTTGTAACATCACAGGTTAAAAAAAAAAAAAAAAAACAACAAAAAAACCCCAACCAAACAAACAAAAAAAAAACCAAAAAACCCACAAAAGAACACCCAAACCAAATAAACCCCTAAAACCCCACTGAACCTGCCCCCCGCCCCCCCCCATATAGGAATGATGAGAAGCAATGGTAAAACAGTAATGCAGTACAGCTCCTGCCTTTAAAGAATTTGAGCAGTCAGGGGGTTGTGCAGCCTTAAAGATTTCCTAAAGCTCCAGGGTTGCAGTTAATCCTTTTGTTTCTACAGTGCTTTAGGTAGCACTTTACTATTGAGGATCCCTAATTCTAGACTAGGACTTAGCTGAGCCCTGCATGAGCATGAAAAAAAATCTTTTACGCAAAAAAATTTACCCTGTTTATGGGAGACCTTGCCTAACAGGGAGATACAGCTTTTCTAGGAGAAGTGGCCTTTATCTTCTAATCCACAGAAAAAGTCCTCATTTTCCGATTGGCCCAAGGTAAATATATTAGTTTTCCATGACTTTTTTTTTTTTCCTTTTTCCCCTTCTGGAACGAAGGCAGAAGATTTGTGGTTTCAGTCATATGAGTCATATTTTCAGAAACCTTTAGTCGGTTCTTGCACCCCCCCTTTCAGCCTTCGTGAGTTGTCTTAACTAGAAGTAGATGCTGGCTGCCATAGGAAAACACATGTGATAAGAGAATTATAGGAGTAGAAGATTCCGAGTGTTAAATTGCCCAGACATTTAGAGTGCTTAAATTTGACATTTCATAGAAAAACTATCAGTCCTTCATTTAAAAGGTTTTGGAAAATAAAATCTGTTGTAGAATCCTTACTGGTAAACTGTTTGGAAACCACTTTATTGTACACAGGTGCTACAGAATAAACACCAAGTACGTAGAGTAATACTGAGGAAAATGACTGTTTAACTGGCCATGCGCCTAAAAATTAACACTTTGTTTTCACTAATCCTGAGAATTTTCGTGTTTCATAAGAGGACTGGTATTCTGTTACGAGAGATACCCACATCTGTGTAACATGGCTCTTTCATGAGTAGTTCATTGCCATTTTATTGTTACAGTTCTAACGTGTCTGTTACACGTATATACAGAATATCACATTGCTTACATTTCTTTGCTGCTTTCACGCTGAAGGTGTATGTCTTATTAGATGTTAAACTGCACATTAAAAAATTCTGGGTGGAGGTAAGTGACGGGGAAACCTGTTAAAGTTTCGGTACTTGCTTCAGAAAGCCAGCTAACTTGTGATATACTGTATGCACGCATCTCTTGCATTACCACTAGAACTGGTCTTTCCTGTGAGCTCCTAAGTAGCTCCTCTAGCTGACACACCAGTATTTATCAAGGTGTACGGATCGGTGTTTTCACTAATTGTTGTGTTGTTGCATTGTTAACAGTTCGCATGGACTCATGTCACTTTGCTGATCACTGTAACTCAATCTCATCTTGTCATCCAAAATCTCTTTGAAGGCATGATCTGGTAAGGGGACAGTAATAAACTGATTTGTAACTCTCTATTGCACTGAAAGGTTGGTTCTTTTACGTAGATCTGGTTAGGGAATAATTACTTGGGAGCTTCAATTGCTCAGAGCTATTGAAGTTGGACCATTTAATTTGAAATCCCCAATCTGGCCACCTTCCCTGCTGCTTTCTCTGTTCAGATAAATTCAGATTACTTAAAATATTTTAAGAGTTTACATCCTGGATATCTTAATACCCTGTTTCCAGTGATATATTACATTCTGATGATGCGGTTAAACTTGATTACTTAAAACTGCTCCTCAAAGAGAAGGTGTATTTTCCCACTTCTTTAGGGACAGGGTAAATTATAAGTTGAGAAAGATGGAAGACAATTTGTGTTCTTCCAAGGGCATTATGCTGCAAGTTGTCCTTTTTCTTTTCCTGATATATATACAACTGGGGAGATTATTGCAGAAAAGACGTGCTCATAGTTGGAAAGGAAACCCAAAGCCTTTGGCAAAATTTGTATAGACAAATTCTTTTCATAGTGATCCCGTTCATGTGCCAAAGACTGAACCTAGTTGCCTTGCTAGCCTACTATTTTTTATTTCCACTGGTGCCAGGCAGTTTGGCAGACAGTCACAAAATCTGACTTTTAGCTTATTGCTACATCCCTGCTTTGAAAAGGGAAAAAAAGAGGTTAACAGGCTTGAATAACAAATTCGGATGCTGTCTGCATGCAAAGAACGCTTAGCTAACACAGGCTGCTTAAAACTGACAAGAGGAAAAAAATGAAAACTTTTTTTTAAATTTAGATATCATTACACTTTAGAAGAAATTTGCTTGCTTTGATGTTACCAAAAACATTAACATGTTTATATCTGTTGATTTCTTCTTAACTGTGGTACCAGTCTTCAAGCCTGATAGGAAAAAGCCAGCCTGTTCACGTTTTAAGCTCATGCACCAAAATCATGTTTTAACTTGAACTAACATGGATCTCTAATGGTCTTGATTGGCTGAAGACTAAGACCAGTATAACTAAATATGCTGCTCGTGGGGGAGCTAGGTGAACAACGTTATGAAACATAATTCCTTCTAAATTCTAGAGAATAATTTCCCAGAATGAAATGCTGCTGTTTCAATTTCTGTCCTGTGTTTAGTTTCGGGCAGCTTTTCTTTTTCTCCATGGAACTTCTAATGTCTTTCTCTAGGTTTCTGGTTCCAATTTCAAGTGTTATCTGCAATGATATTACCGCTTACATTTTTGGATTCTTCTTTGGCAGAACTCCATTAATTAAGGTATGTACGTAGGCACTTCCTCACTAACAAGCTTTTACAATTTATAGCATTTTTGGTACTTGTTCAAAAACATGTTCATGGAAAAATACTTTCTGCTGTACTGCATGATACACATCTTTGCTAAAAAAACCAAATAGACTATCCTGTTTCTGAAGATCTGTAAGTGCAGACTGGGTTTAATATGAATGTAATATTGACATTACAGTATAATACTGTTCAGGTCTATCGCATCATCATTTATAATCACTTCCTTTTTGGATTTCATATGCAGGTTTAACTGCATGCTTACTGTACAGAAACTGTAATTTGAAATAAGCGACTACATCATATATACCTGTTCCTCATTTGGTCTTCTTGATACAGCACTGAGGGGCTCAAGTAGTAATCTTCCTATTCTGGTGGAGTATGCAAGACCCCACAGAAGGCCATGAATTACTATTTTCATGATAGTGCCCAGTTAACTTTTGGGTATTTAGTTGGTTCCGATATTAAACTGCTCCTAAATTGAGAATGTGACAAAATTTGATGAAGAAAATAGCTTGCTACGCTGGTCTCTCTAGGCCTGCTGTTATTTGCTGTAGTAGTCGGTACGTAGGAAGCTACTGTCTCCCAAGGAGCATCCCCAGCTGTAGTTGTCTAACACCCAGGCTTCTGTCACTATCTAAATGCTAGCAGAGGTCTCCAACAGAGCCGAACCGCGCTCGTGCAGGTTTCCACGTCGTGCTTGCAGGAGCTGGGCTGCTCAGGCAGGGTCGGCTGGGGCCAGAGGCAGGCAGCAGGCTCCAGACAGCAGCAGCAGTTGGGAAGGGAGCTCTCTGGCCCCACAAAGCTGCCCGGTGGCACCGACCGAACTACGGCACTTCCCCTCCTTGCCTGGGACAGGTCCTATCCATACTCCTCTATTTATCAGGTTCAGTGGCTGCAGCTACTCGATACCATTTCACACATACCTTTGAGAAACCAAGTAGGAGCTTAATTTTCACAAGCAAGGTGCAGAAATGGAGTAAAAAAGGGTTCAGCGATGCACCCGATGAGGCTAACGCTATCTCTTTTCTGCCTAGCTGTCGCCCAAGAAGACCTGGGAAGGGTTCATTGGAGGCTTCTTTTCCACGGTTGTATTTGGATTTATTGTAAGTAACGCCAGGACTTGCCTTCTGTAGGTTCAGCCTTCAACTTCCTGGTTTTCCTTGAAGTAAGATTACTGACACATTTGGTCGTCCCAAACTGCTGGAAGGCTAAGATTTAGAGGGTGGGGTTTTTTGCTAGAGAATTCTGCCAATTTGTAACTAGCTGGAAAGGCGAGGCAAGGCTTGCACCTCTCCCGAATAGGTTATGTTGACCATTTTTGCCATTACTGTTACTACATCTGGAAATGTTTTCTCTGTTAGTTGCATCCCTATTTTGAAATTGAAGTTTATTGATAGCGTTATTTATGCTTTGTAAAGTAGTACTTTTGTATTCCATACTTTATCGCGACGTTTCTCCTGAGAAGTAGTTTACGCTAACGATATGCGTAGAAGATAAAAACAGCACACAGTAACTGTTCTGGCAAGTAATTTATCACCAAGGTCAGCAGAACTCCTAACTGCCAAACTTGGTAGAAGCGATAGTTCAAGTTTTAATGGGGAATTGAACTGCAAAAAAAAGATGAGTGGCTAATGTTTTGGGATTTTATAATGCATAAAAGTCCAGTAGATGTGAAAAGGAAAACAAGTTGGGAAATCATCACTAAGCTCATTGAACGTCCACATTTGTCTGCCTTGTTGAGGCATTCTCCAGCTTAAAAAGGCCGATTTTACTCCATTGTGGGTCTCTGTTATTAAGAAGATTTTATTACCCTCAGCTTGCAATGAGAAAGCCATCCATTACAGTATGATTTTTGACTGTACCAACAAACACCTGTTTCAGGAGTCCTTGTTTTGCTTTTCAGTTTTCCTATTTTTTGGCTCAACATCAGTACTTTGTCTGCCCCGTGGAATACAACAGTGAAACCAACAGATTTGTGACCGAGTGTGAACCTTCAGAGCTCTTTCAGATGAAGAAGTACTCTGTGCCACCATTGCTTCAGGCTGTGTTGGGATGGGTAAGGAAAAAAACAAGGCTTTGCCTAAAATTGAAATCGTACTTCCCAGCTTGAATGGTTTTCTAAACCTTTGCCTTTTTAGAAAGGTGTGTGAATGCTGTAAGAACTGAATCGATACCATGAGCCTCTCCGTTGCTCAGACTGGGGAGATGGTCAGCCAAGCAGAATTGAAATGCGCTACTGGAGTCGTCTGAGGAAACCAGCCTGTGTTCTTGTGGCCTGTATTCTTTTTGTGCTGGAAATGGATGTCACTTCTGCATTCTGCAGACAAACCTATTTTTGAAGGGCAACCTTTAAATTTTTGTGAAAAATGGACAAAGGTTTGTTGTGGCCCAAATTAGTAGCAAGCCTAAGTAATCTTGTAGAACCTGATTCCGTTTTCAGCTAGTGTGTAACTCCTGTTAGGATTGGACTTGTGCTTTCTTCACCACGTAACGCCTTGTGCGTTAGTGCCGTTACTTCCATACTGAGTGAAAAAGAAATACCAGTAATAGTTCCATGTAATGTAGTCACTGACCCTTTTCCTCACACCCAGCCTGCAAATTCTTTTAAGTGAGCTGTTGTGTCCTTACCTGTCAGGAACCAGGTCACCAATTATCCTACTGTACAAAGCACTGCTTCCGAAGTCACAGGCCCCGGAGGCACTCCAACAGGAAGAAAATACCAACCACAAACCAAGCAGTCTGTCGTTATCTTTCCTTTAGGGCGAAGAGGAGGTGACTGGGATAAAGGCAGAACAAGAAGGTTCTGCGGTGGCTCTCCCCTCGCCTGTGCGATGGCTGAGCACGGAGAGCGAGTGCGCAGCACTAGGGAAGGCGGTGGGCTTTACCTGTGGTTACGTGGGTGTAACCCTGAAGGGGAAAAGTTGGCATGGTTACAAGAGAAAAAAAAAAAAAGGCACAAACTGGAAACTGTAGCAACCAAACATAAGACTAAAAGTAATCAATGGCTACAATTGGTACTTAGAAAAACAAGGTTACATCTAGAAGGAGCGCAGGTATTTTCATACCAAATGAACGTACTGTTGCTTCAGGGACCGTGGGGTTCATTGGAAATTTGATAAGGATTTTTCTGCACAAAAACATAACGTGGACTGAGCAGAGAGAAATCTTCGTAGCAACCAAACATAAGACTAAAAATAATCAATGGCTACAATTGGTACTTAGAAAAACAAGGTTACATCTAGAAGGAGCGCAGGTATTTTCATACCAAATGAACGTACTGTTGCTTCAGGGACCGTGGGGTTCATTGGAAATTTGATAAGGATTTTTCTGCACAAAAACATAACGTGGACTGAGCAGAGAGAAATCTTCTTGTGTCCGGCTATGTTGTTCATTTTGGTAAAGGGCAAGGAGATGGGATGGCCCAGGTCTGTAGCAGTCTAATAGGGAGCTGTCGGTTAACCCTAAAGAGAGATGGGAGTTCCATGTGCACTTCTGGAGTACTTTAGCCAGGCTCTAGCAAACCTTTTGAGGAGACAATTAGTTTTAGCACTCTTCAGAGAAAGTTGAATTGAATCTACTTGTTTGGGCAACAGCCTGGTTTTGATTTTCCCTTGGTTACTCAATTCCTGATGTTCTCTCTCAGAAATATGACCAGATGTTATGTTTGGAAGATATTTTACCTAGTGTCAAAAGATGTCGAGCCTTGTGTTCTCCCAACAAAATCAACTTAATAATTCCAACTCTTAAACTTCTCTGTTAGGCTAAACTGCTCAGTTGGTCAAAAAGAAAGGTGTCTTAAGATAACTGCACAAATAAGTCAAGAAAATTGGTGTTGGCCAGCTGTGATGTCAGTCAGAAACACAAGGTACAGGATGTTTCAGCTACAGATGATGTTTATCAAGACTTGCCAAGTGAGGTGTGCTCTGCTCTCAGGGATGGGGCCAGCATAGTGTTCCCTCAAAGGCTGGAGCTTATACCATTGACTTGAAGGTGCGTAAAGCTGTTACCAAAAAAAACCCCACAGCCAACCCCAAAACCCAGAAAAGCCAAACAAACAAAAAAAACCCAATCAAAAAAACCCCAACAACCCCCAAACACCCCAACCAACGAAAAAAACCCAACTCTTTTTTCTAATCTGTGTCAGGATGGAAAAACAGGTACCTTTTGCCAATGAAGTCTCTCTTATCTGCAAGAACTTGAAGGGATGAAAACAAATTTCAAGTCTGTGAGCAGGCTGAGGGTAACAATATCTATTTAAAAGCAAACCAAAACGTATTAATGAGGGTAAACCTTCTGTCTCCCATTATTGCTGTACGTACACAAAGGTGACAGTAAGGCGAATTAGTGCAAAATTCCTGTCTCGTGAGAGCCCTTGAAAGAAGTGACAGTGAATTGTATGAAGGTGACGAGTTTGTGGAGAGCATTGGGCCACTTACTAGAGCAATACGAGGAATTTGTGGAAATCTCCTTTGTTTACAGGAAGTGGAGCTGGAAAAGCAGAGCCGGGAAAGACTAGAGAGTCCCATCGTACATTATGGAACGAGTAGTTCTGTTCCTTCTGATCAACTGAGGGACTGGTGGAAAACCACGTCATTTGTTAAAGTTCACTGCTCTAGCAATCCCAAATACTTCATCCTGTTCACCTGACCAGACCTTTCAGCTGCTTTCTACAGCGTGCCTACTTCTCCTTTCTTTACAGTATTACTTTGTGTCAGGAAACATGGAGCTTTGTGGAAATTTGCTCTGTGACAGCCCCATTTTAAAATATTTAAGCTTAAAATGCCTACAGTCAAACATATTGAAATATACTGCTAATTATTTTTCTTGTAGGAAACGGTGAATATGTACCCATTTCAGATGCACAGCATTGCACTGTCAACATTTGCCTCGTTAATTGGGCCATTTGGAGGATTCTTTGCCAGTGGATTTAAAAGAGCTTTCAAAATCAAGGTGTGTAATGACTTCTGTAAGCCGGTTTTGGTTTGGATTTCTCTTTGAATTAGATAAAATTGGTGGGTTGGGTTTGTGGGGTTTTTTTAATCATTTATTGTAGTATGTACTGTTTCTACTAAGGTGCGATGACGTTTGAGCTGGTTTTGTTAGCATTGGCAGCAGTACTTAGTTTTATCAGACATATTTATGTGTTATTCTTAAAACTTCATGTAATCAACATGTGACTTTAGTGTTGGAATTCTAAGAATAATTTGGCTTCATATTTTGGTTGATAATTATCCTTCCAAGTCGTGTTGCAGAAGTGGTTTAGAGAAGCAAGATGTGAGCTGATACACTTCACATGAAAGGCAATCTGTAGATGCTCAAGAAGCACCCACAGCGGTTTACCCTTCAGATTGTGGCTGGCTGTGTTTTACCAATAGCGCTGGTGTCGTACGCAGATGCTGACCTATCAGGTTCACCAAAGCATGCGATGTTTGGCTGCCTTTGCCAATACGGTGCCGCCTTGTCACCGGAGCGTGTATTGGCAAATGATGTGACGTGCTAACCTCTGTTCATTGCAAGGTGTGCGCTGTCGCTTGTGGCAGTGTTGTCCCTGGCTGGTATTAAGTGGCAGCAGGAGTACGGGAAGAGGGCAGCCCCAAATTTTCTCCCGACCTTCTTTATGTCTTGGTAGGACTGCTGTAATTCTTACCTTGTTGCTTGTTGCTGTTCCCTACATCCATTGGTTTTGGCGTGTGCTTTGCACAGAAGCGTATAACCCTCTCTGTGCTGAACTCCCCTACGTGTGCTTGCACTTACCCCTCTTTCTTATGCCCGTCCGAGCAACTTGTCTGGCACTTTGCTAGCTACAGCCTCGTCCGCTGTCGTACCTGTACGTCCGGGTAGCAAAAGGCTGTTTGTGTGAAGAAGGGCTTGTAGGGGGAAAAAAAATGCATCTGAAAAGAAGCACTTTTTTTTTTTTAATACTTCTGGGCCCCAAGGTGGTGACCAAAGGACTGTCGTGAAGACTGGGATATTGTGGAATTGTTCCTGAAGGCAGCGCGTAGGTTAGGTTAGCCACTCTGTGCCTGCCCAGAGCTGGAGGGCTGGAGTGGCACTGGCACAGCACCAGTTTAACTGGCTGGCAGCCGCCCCACGTGATGAAGGTCAGGGTTTTCACCCAGTTTACACAAGCGAGCGTGGGTGACAAAAAGGGTATATGAGGCTACTGGGATATTGTGGAATTGTTCCTGAAGGCAGCGCGTAGGTTAGGTTAGCCACTCTGTGCCTGCCCAGAGCTGGAGGGCTGGAGTGGCACTGGCACAGCACCAGTTTAACTGGCTGGCAGCCGCCCCACGTGATGAAGGTCAGGGTTTTCACCCAGTTTACACAAGCGAGCGTGGGTGACAAAAAGGGTATATGAGGCTGGTTTGACCAATGAAGCTGTTCTACAGACAAGACTGGGTAACACAAAGGTAGTGTATTGAGCTGCATTTGCATCAGAAATTTTTTTTAAAGTAGTGATAACTTTTTCACTACGAGGTTTTTTGATTCTGTTAAATATATTTAAATAAATGTATGGTTTTTAACTACGGTTACCAAAAACCCAGTGAAAAAAAGGGCAGGTGAATGGGCAGTACAACTTGCAAAGCCAGCGTTGGTGGAAAGAGTCCTCAGGTTACTGCTTCTCGTGTAGCAAATATATATTCCCTGGTAACAAGTGCTTCAACAGCAGCTACCAGTAGAGGATAAAGCAATAAAAGTATTAAAGAGGAGAATTAGTTTCTGCAGAGGCAAGAAACGACAGCCATTAGCTTAAGAGGCTTGCTACAAAATGAAGTATGTATAGGCACACAAGTGTGCTCCGTACTGGCAAACCTGCACCTGATCTACTGCTGTCCTCTCGTGTGATACTGTGGACGAGTTGCTTCATCTCTTCTTTTTCTTCTCAGCCCCTGACTCACCTTTGCAGTTAAAAACTCCTTTAGCAAAGGAGGCTCCTGCTAACTTTTGGCTCAGTGCGGTGAAACCATAGCTTAATTGCAGCCTTAATGTTCTGCTGTTAAGTGATGCGTCGTTAGTGTGTTTGATCGGAATCACTGACCATGATTTTTTTTGTTTGTTTTGTTTTTCCCTCTCCCCATCCTTCAAACCCAAAAGGATTTCGCAGACACAATCCCTGGGCATGGTGGGATAATGGATCGCTTTGATTGTCAGTACTTGATGGCCACTTTCGTTCATGTCTATATCACCAGTTTCATAAGGTATGGGCTTTTTACAGAATTAACTACTTACGCTTGCATAGGAGCTGTACCGTAGTTACTTCGTAGGAGTTACGTTCCACACTGTTAGCGTAGTGGAGATTGCAGGTTTCTAAATCTGATTTATGCAAGGAGTTCAAATACAGAACTATTAAGAAAACATATGTCACTGCCTAGGATTTGTGTCAGGTTCAAGCTATGATTTAATGTACCTGTGAGTGCTGTTAAAGGTACTTTGTGTACCCTAAATACCAGAACGTTTTGTATAGCAGCCTCCAAGAGGTTTTACTAGAACTTGCTGATTAGAGGGAGGTATGAGGATGGGGTTTGGGGCAGGAGGGGTGCCGCACCATCTGCTTTCTCTGTAGGTTGCGAGACTGCAGTTCTTCCTCTAAGTTTCAGTCTTTCTCAGTCGCTTGACTTGGGATTTTCTATTGAAGATGAAAACACTATGGTTAAAGAGAGGAGACAACTTCTTAAAAATACTGCTCATCTTCCCTGAACCACACCAGCTTTCAAGAAGAAATCATGGGCCTGACAATTCTCTTACAGTCAGTCATTGTAGTTCCTGGGGCAGGGGGGATCACGGGGCTGTAGGTGTCCAAATGGATACATGCCCTTCGTTTTGCAAATGCATATGGCTAAATAATTATTAGACGCCTCATCAGCAACAGATGCTTTGCCTCGTATTCGGTCCATCTTAGAATCAGACTGTAAATAAGTCACTAGCTAAAAATGTGGCTGTTATTTAGAAAACTTGGTTTAATTTGCCATTTTCTTCACTGACTTGGCCAACTTTCTGTTTAATTCAGTAGTACACAGCTTATCTGGCAACAGATACTAAACTAAAAAAGATCTGTTGATGAGAAATGTTGATTACAGTGATTAAGAATGAATCGGTGAATCGTACTCGTCATATCCCACTTGACAGCAAATAGAAGAAATGCTTTTTAGTTTCTGTTCAGATTGAGCTAAGGAGGACGCTTTGGCAGTAATGCTCGCCCATGCGTCCTGGGGAGATAGACTGGGAGAAATCCATAACTTAGTGTCCCCAAAAAAGGGAAGGCATTGTTTGTGCAGCAAGAAGAAAATGGAAAGCTGTTGAAAAGTTTCTTTAGAGCTGCTGCTCACAAAAACAAATTTTCATTGACAGGGGTCCAAATCCCAGCAAATTACTGAAACAGCTCTTGATACTTCAGCCTGAGCAACAACTAAGCGTGTATAAAACCCTGAAATCTCACCTCGTCGAAAAAGGGATCCTGCAGCCATCTCTGAAAGGGTAGTTTGTCAAAACAGAGGACTAGAAGAAACCTCCATTTACAAGAAGCCTGTGGAAAAGCGTTGCAAATGTGCACATAGATAATAGCTAAAGGAAGAGTAGTTTATGGTCTGGAAGAAGTGAATGTTTCCTGAAATGAATGTGAATGCTCTGACTTCCTATTAGAACACAGAAGATCTCGTACTCCTAAAATAATTAAAATGCTTGCAAAGTAACAGGACACATGCTGTATATTTTACTTCCTGAGGTGGATGGCAGCAGTCTTCCTTCAGCACCCAGCCTGACAGGCTTTGTACTTAAAAAAAAAAAAAAAAATAATTCACCATTAGTTTTTACATTAGTTTTTAATGAGTTATTTAATATGGTACAGCTTAGCAATACTTTTTTGGTCTCCAGTGGTTACTGAAGTGTAAACAGATGAGGCAGGTGATCGCTTTTATGTAGCCCAGTGCTGAAATTACAATTGGCCGGAAAATACTTGTTAGCCTGGTCCAAGAGGTACTTCCAGCCTGCTGTATCAGCCTACCTGTATTTACTAAATCACTATGAAGGTTAAACTTAACTCGGTTTTTAATCAAACAGCTTTCTTATGAAACTATTTCATGCTTTCAAGAGAAAAGTACCTTTACTGAAGTATAGCTGGGCTGTTTGGGCTGTGGAGCTGCTATTTTTTTGGTTAATGTTACGGATTGTAAACAAGCGTCGACATCCAAGAGTAGAGATTACCTGAGAAAATGAGATCCTCCTACAGACTGGGGAGAATCTGGAGTTTAAGCCCTTGGTTTCCACGGCCGAGTCAGTGTCTGAAGTCAGTAATTCAAGCCTTATTCCTTGTGCCTCTTAACTACCGCGTAGAATGGGGGTATTTCCTTCTCTTTTAAAAGCCTTTTGAGTAAAAAGTGACATTTAAGTGCTGTTTTATTAACGTGTTAACTCAGTGAAGGCAGAAACTTTTACCTGATGTATGTGCAAAGTGCAAGACAGGATGCATGGTGGTTCTGCTGTGTGTTGTTATTTATTAAGAAGATCCTCAAGCACGCTTGGGTAACCACATAGGTGTTTGAATGGAGAATTTTTATAGAAAGCAGCTATTCTGTAGAGTTAGTAGGGCGTGGGAGGAAAGCTGATGCTCTGTAATTCTCAATCCTACCTGTTTTCTAACTTTTTTCATCACGTGGCATGTCTTGATGCAGATAAAAATATAAACTTTTTTTGAAATGACAAAAATTACTCCTGTACAAACAGAAAGCACAAATGCCGATTATGTTTTGGTATACTGTGACTTGACACAATTTAATTTTTCCAACTAATTGTAAATAAGTTTCTCCTGCGCTGAATGTACTGATGCCACGTATATGTGTGTGTCTGTATATGTATGTAAAATATTAAAAGGTGTATGTATATATATAAAAAAAGTGAAAATTTTAAATGGTTGGTGCTACTTGAGGATAAAACCATGCAGAAATTCACTGGGGCGGGTGATAAGCCGTATCTGTAAAATTCAGACTGCTTTTTGTTGAACACCGTGCGGTTGAGACCACCGTGCGCTCTGTTTTGCACTTAGGCCGTGGTAGCGGTTGTACAGCTTGCGTAGGGAAAAGCACCGCCGTACACGGCCGTGAAACGAAATCCCAGTCGGAAGTAATTCCTCTTGCTGGCAGGTATTTGACAGAATTAAATTACGGCGGACCTGGAGGTTGCAGTACTGTATTGAAGGAACCTCCCAGAGGTGAAAAATGTCTCCAGCTCCTTGTCCGTCAGTGGCCGTGAGACTTGGCTTATTAATTGCCAGCAGCAATTGGCTTATTAATTGCCAGAAGGGCAGCACAGCCTGAGGCGAAAAGGTAGCGGAGCCAGGGAGTGGGACATGGGGAAAGATGCTTTAAAAAGGAGGGAAAATGAGAGGGCGACCAAAGTAGCGTACTTGGAAAACTTAAGTTTCGGATGAGACTTTGGTTATGTACGGGACTTGGGTAGATGCGTATGAAAAAACGCAGGCGTACTGGAGCTGTGTATCTTTGTCCTGGGTATTTAAAAAAAAAATAATAAAAAATGATGTATAGAATATAGAGAGGGAGAGGTAATTGTTACTTTGGAAACTTGAACTTTTTAGTGTAATTTTATAGCATGTATAATAAGGAAGTGAAAATATATTTTAGCATTTACTACAACAGAGCTTTTGAAATTAATAGCTATCTATTTGCACAATAGAAAGTTCAACACTGCGATTCTGCTGTTTGCTGTTAAAATGAAGAAGGGATCACTCGTGACCTCACGCATCAGTTTTTTGGATAGAGTAAGAGCTTCCTGCTGGCTTAGGCTTGGTGTAAATAAAGCTCAGCGGGACCTGTCACTACGAAGTGACAACTGCGCTTGCTTACTATGAAGTGCATTTACTCCACTTGTTACTTCTGTTAGTTCAAGCATTGCAACGTGATCAACAGGAGAGTTGATTAACTTTTGACACCAGTGAATCTTTTCACTTGCACTTTTGTTCCAAATTGCTCTAATTACCTGTTGAGCAAAAAAAAAAAAATGTATATTATGTAAATATTGTAAATGGTACGAGCATATAATGTCTGTTTTAGTTTGACTGTTTCAATCTTTCATTGAAGCAGGTGTTGTAAAAAAACAAAACAAAAAAAATAAAACTGGGACAGAAATCCTCCTGTCTTGTATTTCCTACAGCATGCACAGTGGGTGAAGATTTCTTAACAAGAATTATTTATGTTCCTTTATATTATTCCTTAAAGTTGTGTTTTTAATAGCAAAGTCTGCTATGATTTCCTACCTTTCACCCCTCAAGACTTCAGGCCGTCCTTGACTGTTGCTGCAAGCAGCTCCTACGATGTGCCTCATCTCCAACTCATCACCTTTTCCAAAAGCTGCTCTCTTCGACATCGTCTGCCTTTCCCGCCGAGCAGGCGGTGCGCGGTGTGGCGGGGCTGCTGCGGTTGCTTGGAGCTGGCAGAACAGAGAAACGACGCCTTCCTTGCCCTCTGCGATTGCTTCCCTCCAGGTAGGAAATGCTGCCTGCGGCCTCTCCAGCACAGCGGTGAGGGGCTGGAAGAGGCTGGCACGGACATCGGGGCCTCATCCTGGCTCTCCTCGTTCTGCCCGTGGCTCACACCCAGTAAGAGAGAGGTCGCTCGCCAGGGCAAGGCCCAACAACCAGCAATGCTGTGGTAAGTGCAGCGCTCGCGAGCTCCGTTCACCCAGGCGGACTTTGCTGTGGTGTCTGGGCCCCCGCCGTGGCACAAGGGTGGCACCGCTGCCCCTGCCCGCCGCTGGTCCCTCTTGCTCCCACAGGTAGCTGCATCTGCAAAGAAACGGCAGAGAGGGGAGAGTGCGGCAATGCCAAGACTAAAGCTCCTGCTCAGGACTCGGTGACTCCTCTTCCCGCCCTGCCACATTCTGCCTCTGGAAGCACGAGTAACCTTTCCATTTTCTGGGTGTCAGGGGTTGTGAAATTTTCTTCTTTTGGAACCCTGCTTCCCGTTCGTTAGTCCTAGTGCCGCTGGCACAGGCCCGCCGGTGTTCACCATCCATGGGGATGATGGCAGCTGCCCTCCTCTGCTTTCCTCTTCCTTTTAAGTCTTGGATCCAAGGCCCTTCACCTCCTGCAGCCTCAAACAAGGTGGGTAATAAATGCGTCTCGTTCCTAAATTACAATGGCGACGGTAACATCTGTTGAACACTCACCATCAGCGAATCATCTCTGTGCTGCGCACCTCGGACTTCAGAAGGCTCCCGACGAAGCACAGGGGGAGTTTTCCCATCGCCTCCATCTGCTTCCTGATGCTCTCCTGAAGAAAGGAACGGGACAGACAGTGGTGAGACTTCTCCGGCTAAACTGAGAACGTTTTGGACTGTTACTTGCACAGAAACAGGAGATTTTTACCTTCACCAGACAAAACCCTTTCAAGGCGCGCTCGTGGAGGCAGTTGGAAGGAGCTGCTTTCAGGGGTACTAGCGTAGCAGTGGATGGCCAAAGTAACCCTTGTTTGTGCAGTTGTAACAGAGGGAATTAGTGACTTTTATTTGTGTGTTTGTTTGTTTTTAAAGGTTGACTTCAGTTGTCCTACGTAACATTTAAGCCATGCTGCGCAGAGTCCCTTTGTCCAGCTTGTACTAGAACCTGCACGTAGCTAAGGTACAATTACTCTTTCTCTTGCAAATAGTTTCTCAATTATAAAATGGATATTTAGTTCCATGATTTAGCAGTTTCAAATTACATAAACTTAGATGTAAATCCTGTATCTGACAGGATTCCAGAAACGGGCATTAATCTAAGTGTTACCTGTAAACATGGAATCAGAGAATCCTTTCGGTTGGAAAAGACCCTTGAGATCATGGAGTCCAACCGTTAACCTGGCACTGCCAAGCCCACCGTTAATGTACCACTGGATACTACAGGCACTACGGCTTGTTTCTTGTGCACAGATCGCACCCCGACTTCCCAATCCCAGTGCTTGTTCTGCCAGTTACAGGGACGCGTTTTCATCTCGAAAGGAACAGCTGAGGAAGGCTGGCATTATCAGGATTTCCTTAGCACCAACATCTCCTTCGCAAGGGAGTATGAAAAGGCAACATGTTCTCTTAGGGAAGTCAAGGCATAAAGTTTCAGCCCCATTTAATTGCCACCGGTCCCTTTGCACTTGCCCAGGTCGAGGTGCAACAGCAGCAGTTTGTTTTTCCAACCGGTTGCTGCTCCGGCACGAAGCGAGCAGCCCGGCTGCCCCCCAACACCACGGGGACTCGAGTTGTGAGCTAATCCCACGGGCAGCTTTCAGAGCGAGAGGGCAGGTTTTCACTCCTGCTCTTAGGACCCTGCTCTTTGATCACAGGAAATTAAATACTTGTGCTACCCGGCAGGAATGGCACACACCTCTAAAGAAAATATAACGAGCGCTCTAATTGTCCAATACTGGCTTATATTAACTACCTAACTGCGGCTAATCGTTTGGGTTTGTATGTACTTGAAGGGTGTGTGTAGCTCTGCGT